ACACATGTTTTTTTTAATTCCTAAATGTCTTAACTCTTAGAGTGAACCAACTATACTCTATTGGTGTACTTCTAATATGGTCATAGATTTATTGAGTAGACATTCATCAAAGGGTAATGTGATAACTTCTTTAGTATACAAGAAATTACATTTCTTATCTTAGTCATCCATCTAACTCCATTAGATTCCTAATGCTCCTAACAAATGACCCACGCATAATGCTTTACTAGGTCCATCAAAATGAGTATCAAAGTTCACAAATTCTTTAATGAGGTAACCATGATGACTTCAAGTCGAAGGACTAGTAGTATCCATCTCATATGAGATTTCCATAGACTAAACCAAATAGGTTCTCATGATGAGTCAAGTCCGGTGATATGTTCTTTAACATAAATCACATAAGTGTTTACTTTAGCATCATTATGCCAATAGGTTTGAGATCTTCTTCTACTATCATTTAGCATGAGTATAACATGCACAAGTCTAATCATATCTCGGTAAATGTTATTTTTTGGCAATGCTATGACTTAGGATGTTTAATAATATTAGTTATGTTCATTAGTGTTTGTCTCATATGTTTGATCAATCACTAATGAAAATACATATCATAAGGATTTTTTTCTAATTCTAATGAATTAATAAACATAAAGCGTAAGAACTAATAGAAAGACTTCTTTATTATTAATAAAATAAATGATGCAATAATATCAAACCTTAAGGGTTTTCTTAAAGGTATACAATAATATAAATATGATCAATCGCTAGTAGTTGGTTTGATAGATCTAAGGCATGTCTCCATAATACTACACTCTAAGGAGGATTTTATTAAAGCATGGTCCTAGGATTCTTATATCATCGATAACTCTCTCTTCGGTTTGTTCAAATGAGAGGAGAATTTCAGCGTAAGCTATGAATCCTCCAAAGTTGTATTGTAGAGTAGATTACTAGGCCTCCCTTTATCTTTCTTCCTAGTAACGTATGTCTAGGAAATAATAAAGCCCTTTAGTACCTTTACGTGCACGGATGAGAGAACGGAGAATGGCTCTCATCCTATGTATGCTAGTGTTTTTGTGGAACTTAACCTTGATGTAGCCATTCCTGGTAGAATATGGATATCTATTGGAATTAATAAGAAAAATGGTTTCTAGTTAAATATAGTCGTGGAATGTAATGTAACATATTGTAAGCATTGCAAACTATAGGGGCATGACAAGGTTGTATGTAGGAAACTTATGCCCCAAGTTACATAAAAAAAATCAACAATTACACACTTCGATGAAGGTAGTTATCCTTATAGAGTCCCAACAAAAGCAAACTTGGTAACTAATACAAAAATAGAAAACCATACTGAAATAACCAAGATGAAACTATCTAGCATCAAAGAATTATTCCTTCTTCAAATATCAATAAGAATAAAGGAAAAAAAGTTAAGGTTGAATAAGAGGAATGTAATCACATGCGGCTAGAATATAATCAAGAGTATGCAACGAGTTGAGGTAGAGGCGAGATATGAGTCATATACATGCAAAAATAGGAATAGAAAGGAAAGAAAATAATGAGTATGTAAAGGATGGTTTTGTTGAATTAAATATGGAAAATGTGGCGGAAAAGGGGACAAATTCAAGAATCACATAATAAGCAAGTCCCAATGACTCAATAAAGGAGCCACCTTTAGCGAAGTAGTCTTAGAGGAGAGAATCCCTATAAATAACACATTTGAATGTTTAAATATGCTAGAATATCATAACATAGATGATGGTATTTTAATCAAGCATGTGGAGCCTGATTTATCTCGTCGAGTATCATCAAGAAGACATAAGGACATTAATGACAATATATCATAGGTTGTAGGCAAATTAAAAAGTGGTATGCAAATTATTGACGACTAGGGCAAGTCCATCTCAAAGAAATAAAAAAGAAGATGTTGTGAAGTCCGGTGAAGTTAAGTGGCAGCAAAGTTACTAGGTTTGTTATGGATCACAACGGGGAGCTATTTTTCTCCTTACCCAATGAATAGCCGAGAAAAAAAGACGACTTCATCGGAATTAAGTAACTCGCTTTTGAATTTAAAACCAAAGAAAATAAAAGATAAGTTGGCTACGTTTGCTAGATCAATATAGTTCGAGGAAATTTGCATGGTAACCTAATGAACAAACATATATGGGTATTATAGAGTGAGAATATTACAATAGAAATGAGAAGCTCTTACATGTAATCTATTACACTTCACTTAAAAGATCCATCATCTAGTAAGGAAATACTGCTTACGGTAGTATTTGCAAGTTGTGACGAGTTGAAAAAATAAAACTTTAGGATAGTTTCTAAAGCTACAACATTACTATACGTTGGATCGTGGCTGGTAATTTTAATGTTATTACGGTGTCTCAAGAAAAAGTAGGAAGAACTCTTCTAGACATGGGATCCATGTTTGAGTTTAAGGGAGCTATATAGGTAGTAGGATTACGGGATGTGGGGTTTATGGATAGTAAATTCACATGGTGTAACAATCAAGATGGGGGAGATGCATTTGGAAAAGACTAGATTGAGTTATAAAAAATTCGGAGGCACTAGTTAATATGCTAAGATTGACTTGGTCACATCTAGCTAGGTTATACTCAAACCATTGTCCATCGCTTCTCACTATGTTGGGCAATTCTTTAAAACCCAATCGCTTCACCTTTAAAAAAATGTGGACTATGCATAATTGCTTCATACCCTTTGTTAAGGCAAACTAGAATAACTCATATAGTCACATCCCATTCCTTAACTTAGAGCTCAATCTTAGAACATTAAGAGGGGCTTTGAAATTATGGAACTAGAATGTATTTAGGGACCTAAACCAAAAATTGAATGAAGCTAAGGATAAGGTAATCCAAATAGAAGCTATTCTTCAATAGAGATGGACATTGGAAAAATACAATGATGATTATGAAGCTAAAGAAATTTTAGCTACACTAGTTAATCCGGAAGAAATGTTGATGCAAGAAAAAAGCTAGGGCAAAATGGTTAGAAGTTGGTGATCAAAACTCTACCTGCTTCCATGTATGTATCGAAATAGAGTACGCAAAGGAAAAATTTGATCTCACCATGACAGATGGTAATTGATGTACTAATGATACTCAAGTGGGTGCAGCTGTGGTAGATCATTTTTAAACTATTTTTAAGAGTGGAAATACTTATATAGACTCGAAGCTTTATTGAGGCAGGTACCAACATTATTCATTACAAGTTAGAATGAAGATTTGATGAGTGTCCTAAATGAGGAGGAAATAAAACTTATTGTCTTTAAGTTGGATGAACAAAGTGCTTAAGGTCCTAATGTTAATATGGTTATTCTATAGATTTTGCTAGGAAATCATTTTAAGGATGTGATTTAGGTCGTTCGGGACATCTTTCATAGTGGATAGCTCCCCAAGGATGTTGTGGCGATGTATCTAATTCTATTCCAAAAATTTCACAAACCTATAAAATTTTCTAATCTAATACCAATTAATCTTTAAAAATTTTCATATAAAATACTTTAAAAAATTATCAACCTCGGACTTATCGTTGTCCTTCCTCACCCGATTCCAAAGGTGTAGCTTGGATTTGTGAAGGGGAGGCTAATTCATAAAAATATGACTTTAGAACAAAAGCTCTTCAATGACATTGATAGAAGGACTCACAACATTAATGTGATTCGAAGGTAGATATGCCTAAGACCTATGATAGGTTAGAATGGCCCTTCTTGCTATATGTGTTAAAGAAACTTAGGTTTACACAAAGCTGGTGAAATTTGATTAACACATGTATCAATAATTAATAGTATATAATTCATCTTAACTCTAAGGCTTATGGCTTCTTCAAAGCAACCGGAGGAGTGAGGCAAGGTGACCCTCTATCCCCTAGGCTTTTTATTCTAGCACAAGAGGTATTTAGTATAAATCGAAGGTTGGATAGAGAAGGGTTCTATCTAACCTTATTATATAGGAAGAGCTTCAATTGTGGTATTTCATCTCCAATTTACAAATGATATGCTTCTCTTCTACAATGCAAACAAGCATAATGTGGACAAGATTATTAAGTTGTTGTAGATTTATATTGAGGTAAGTGGATAGATGATAAATCTCTAGAAAAGTTTAATTATTTGTAGTGACAAACTAATAGATAGTAGGAAAGCCCTTTTAACCACATGGATTGGGTTCTCACGTTCATCAAATCTTATAGCATACTTGGCCATTCCTTTATTTAAAGATAGACTGAGAGGAGAGTTTTTTATTACTCTAGAGAATAAACTCAAAGAGAAAGTTTCTAGGTGGAAAGGTAGATTCTTATCAATAACGGGTAAGGTCATATTGATTGAGAGTGTACTCAAGTCTATTCCTATATACACTATGGGTGTTCTCCCAATTCCAATAGCTATGATTAACAAAATGTAGAGATATATCTTAAACTTTTTTCTAGAACAATGGTGGAGAGAATAGACATCACTTGGATGAGTTGGAAATCCATATGTTTACCGATATAGGAGGGAGGGTTAGGCATCGAAATCTTTAAGATGTCATGCAAGCTATGAAAGGAAAATTGGCATGGGCTTATCTAACAAGTTCTTCCCTTTGGAGTAGCTTTATGAGGGATAAATATAGAGAGGATTAGACTCTGTCATTTTCTTAGAAAAGTAAAGCATCTTTGGTATAAAAGAAAATTATCCCTCACATATAATAGATTATAAAGAAGTCGACATGGGTTATTGGTGAAGGTAAGATCAAGCTATGGATGGATAAATGGGCTCGGACAAATCTTCCTTCTTCTTTAGGTGATCTAGGTATACCTATTACAGAGGTGGTCACAAATATTTCCATTTACAATGCCTTACCTCGTTCAATTATGACTAGACTAGATTTCATCATGTTGGAAAGTGGCAAGGCGGACAGTCATTACTACTTGGATTCAAAAATGGGTCGGTTTTGTACTTAGGCTTACCATGAGTCCTTAAGAAGAAACACTCTAAAATATGAGTAATGGAAATCATTAAAAAACAATGGCTTCCAAAGAAAATTGGGGTTCTAGTCCGGAAAGTGCAAAAGGATGCAATATTAGCAGAGGCAAAAGTGAGGAGAAATGGAATTAGTTTGGCATCCAAGTACTTATGCTACATGAAGGCAAATGAGGAAACTAGTAATCATTTGTTTTTCTAAAGGGAAACTGCAAGTAGTTTATGGAATGAATTTGGAGCAATACTAGATGTGAGACTTGTTAGAGTAGGTGCCCAAGATCTAACCGTATATGAATGGACTTGAGTTAATGTATTATTGCATGAGTTATTTTCATAATAATAAAGAAGTCACTCTACTAATTATTATATTTAATTTTTATAAATTTAGTAAAATTAGATAGAAATGCTTATGATATGCATTTACAATATTGATTGATCGAAAAATATGAGACAAACACTAATCATATAAATGATAGTAATAAACATCCCAAATTACAACATTGTTAATAATGGACATTGACTATATTCGGATAGACTTATGATCGTTATGCTCATGCTATATGATAGTAGTAGGAGATTTCATATCTATTGGCATGGTAATGCCAAAGCAAGCACTTAGATGATTTATGTTAGAGAACATATCACTAGACTAAACTCACCATGAGAACCCATTTGGTTTTAGTTTATAGGATTCTCATACGACATAGGTACATATGGTCTTTAGACTTGAAATCATCATGGTTATCTCATTAAAGGACTTATATACTTTGATACTTGTTTTGATGGACCTAATAAAGGGTCATGAGATAAGCGATTCATTGGGAGCCCTATGAATCTAATAGAGGTAGGTGTATGACTAAGATAGGACATGTCATTCCTTATATGCTAAAGGAGTTATCACATTGCACTTCAATATCGAGAAATCTATGGATGTAGTAGGAGTACACCAATAGAGCATAGTTGGTTTATCTTAAAAGCTATGACATTTAAGAATTGAAGAAAACTTATGTGATCATAATCGAACAAGACATATAAATAAGTTCGAGATCACACTATGATAAGTCGATTAAAATAGAAAGTTTTCTTAATTAATAAGTTTTTAAAAATAGAAAATTTATTATTTTAGAAATCAGTTTTCTAATTTGAAAGTTGGTTAAAAATTTGAAAATAAAAAACCTAAAATGGAACTAAGTTTCTTCATTTAGGTTAAAGGGAATTTTAGGAAATTATTTCCTAATGTGGACTCACCAAAAATAATCTAAAATTATTTATTTAGATAGTCCAAATAAATAAATTAGGCGTAAATGGTTTTGGCCCATTAGATTTAATTAAAAGCCTTAAGATATTTTGTCGTGAGGATAAATATCAACCTTATTAGATAAGGATGAATGTTTTAAAGATAAAGATAAAAACTTTCACATGTAAAAACAACTCTTAATCATTTGAGGATACGAAGCAACAACCTAGAGTCCTTAAGGGACTCATTGTTGCCTCTCTCCTTCTCTTTGGAGGGCAAGGAAACTCTCCAATATATATATATTGGAGAGAGAGTGGTACGACACACTAAAGAAAGAGAAGAAAAAAGAGAGTTTTGGCAATAATTGAAAAAGGCCACTAGGACACATGACAAGAAAAGGAAAAGGGAGAAAATAGTTTTCTCCAAAACCCTAGCACACCATACTCTTTCCTTCTTCTTTAAAGTTATCATAAATTTGCTTAGAATAGATTTTTATAGGAAACACTACACAAATAAGAAAAGATGGAGTTAGCATCCTACTAATTTTGAGTGTTTCTTTTTGGATACTTGGACTACGTGGATCATCAATAGAGGTTAGACACTCGGGTGGCTTTTCTACTAAAAGAATTTAGATCCGTGCTATAAGAGATAATTATTTATTCATTACTTTAAAGTCATGCATGTACGATTAGTATATTCAATGATTTGATCTTGGGCCTTTAGATGGATGAAAATTTTTATTTATTCCACATCTCTATAAGATGCATAATCCTTCAAGACTTAAGGTACAAAATATTACTTAGCTGCTAAGGCTTGCCTCCCCTTAGGTAACATCCTATCTTAAAAGCAATTTTCAAGACCTATTATGTGCACTGTCTTTTGTAGAGGATTTGGAGGGCGAAGAATAAATCTTTTTTTTAGGATATTCAAATGTATGAGGGAACTATTAAAGTTAAAGTTAGAAGTTGGCTTCGGGACCTTACTAGGTTATTTGACCTAAAAAAAGTGTCCGAATTTCATGATAGTATATGTTTTCAATCGATAGGCTTAACTTCAAAGAATGTGGCACCAATGGATGGAGCATGGATCAAATGGTTAATGATTACATATGGAAAATATTAGTTAAATATAGATGAGGCAAGTAAAGAACAATTTGTGAGGTGAAGGAGGTATTATTTAAGATGATAAAGGAAATATGATTATGCTATATTCTTGCTTCTATGGCCCGAGTTTCCAACTCTAAGGGAGAGGCAATGGCACTCGTTAGATGGACTTAGAATTGATCAAGGATATAATATTCCATGTGATATAATAGAAGTTAACTCATCAATGATATTAAATTGTATCCCATCAAAACTTATCCATGGAAGCTTATATACATCTTTCAAAAATGCAAATAGTTGACTCATGAAGGAATAATGTGGTAGCATTATTACAACGAGGGAAATATGGTAGCTAACAAACTTATAGAGTGGACTTTGTAGCATGAATCATCCAAAAGAGCCTTCGCAACGGACTATCTTTCAATTACATGTCAAACGAGTGATTAAAGAGGACCAACTATGCTTGTATTTCTTTAGTTCTAAGTAATCTATGGCTCAATCGTTAGGGTAATTATTAGAGTATTGCTAAGATCTATTTTATTTGTATTTGTTTTTACTTTAGGGGTCTAGGCTTCCTTTTCATTCTAATTTATTAGGCTAGGCTAGTTTTTCCCCCATGTATTTTACTAATTTATCAATATATTTTCACAAGGTATTGCCCTTGTTTCATTAAAATAAAAACATATAATAACTCAAACGTATCCAAACATGGTTAGATCTTTGACGCTTACACTAATATCTATTAATGCATATGCAATAAGATTAAGGATCAAGAAATTACCACATATAACATTAGCATCTTCTTTATTCACCTTTTCCTACATAAGTGTGTATACACATCCAGGAATATATCATCCTTCGGTTGGTCTCCTCTTTGGGCGATTATTAGCCAAATGTCTTTCTTCCTAACAAAATTAACACACATTTGTACCCATAAAACAATCCTTAGTATGGGCGACCATATTCTGGATAGTTCCGAGTTACCTTGATCCCTTACATTTTATGGTATTGTAAAGCCTTTTCCCTTTTTATTATCCCTTCCCCGGTTTGGAGTAAATGATCTCTTCCAACTAGAATGCCCTCCGAACCTTCCTAGAGTGGTTCCTCCTTTCCTCATACCCGAAGGTGGAATACGACTACATTCCTTTTGAACTATTTGAACTTTGAGTGCTTTTCTCACCATATCCATATAGGTGTCGATTGACGTTCAAACAAAACTCCTTATTTCGACCACGAGTCCATGAAGGAAATGTTCCTTCTTTCTTTTCTTGCTTTTGGCAATAAAAGTAGCATAACAACAACTATGATTGAGTTTATGGACATATTTCATAACCAACATGTCCCCCTATCTTAGATGGACAAACTCTTGAATCTTATGGAACCTTACAATGTCGGAGAAAAATTTCTCATTAAACTATTCCTTGAATTGATTCTATGTAAATCCCATTTCATTGAGGGACACTATCATCATCTCCCACCAATTTTGTGTATCAAGCAATCGACATAAAGGTGGCACACATTATCCAATCTATGTCACTTAAATCCAAATATTTAAAAATAACTTCTATGGATACAATCCACTCTTCCGCAACATTAGCATTTGAGCCACCTCCAAATTCCTTTAGATTGAACCTTTGGAACCACTTAACTATCTTGGTCCTCTATGATTGTTATACCTCTCCTAGACTATGCCAAATTGTTTCTAGTATCCTCTCGTAATTATTTCTTATTCCTTTCCAATTGTAGCTCCATAATATCTTAATACCTTAAAAGCAGCTCCATTAACTCTCCATCTTGATCCCAAAACATACAACTTGATCTCGTGTTATTATTATTAGCCTAGTTTTACGAGCATTGTGTTTTCCTCGCTTTAATTTACATGCACGGACAACATAAACTAAGTTATTCATGTCACTTTAACTTATAACATTTCATATACATAACATTTAATCATAACACAACAACATGCCATCCATATTCATTTCATACACACTAAGCAATCATGACAATTATTCAATAAACATCCTTACCGATTACCCAAGGTCACTTTCGTGTGACTTGGATGTGATTAGTAAAACATGCTACGATAACATGTTTGTGACACCTCCAACTTCGGACCTAATAGGTTAAGAATATTTTTTCCATTAACCTATGTTTAAAGTGCAATGAATTCAAACTAACAAGACATTGTGACTTATTCATAATATTCTTAGTATAAACCACGCCGCAAAAGTCTAGTAATGGCGATTAGGTCATACGCTTTAGTTCAAAAAGCACTATTAATTTTTTGCATTTTATTATTTTATTTACATTCCTAGAATTGAAATAAGTCAATCTATGATAGTTGATTTTCTCAAATTCTTTTTCTACTAATTTATTTAAATTTATTTAATCGTCATTCATCCATTAGTAATTAATTATTTTTCCTTTTCACTAATTATCACTTATTCTGGTTATTATCTATTTAATTTTATCATTTTATTTTGCTATTAGTTCTAGCATGAAAGAAAATTAACTTAAAGAAACTATACTAACTATGATTATACTACTATTTTACTATCAATATTATGTTTACATAGAAGCTACTATTTACATACAAAACTACTTTAGTGCCAACTACTACAAAAATGACTTACTACAAAAAAAATGTATTTAAAGTTAATGGCCATTGATTAAAGCCATTCTATGAAACATTCTAAGTACAACAAGAGAAGGTAACGATATTAAGAGATCATTTGAGTGATGACTAAAAATACCAACGTCAAGCTAATGACGTTAAACAAAAGCATTCATTGGCGAGCAACCCAATACTTCTTGTAAATTTTATGTTTCAATTAAATAT